AAACTTTTTTAAATATAAATATTTATATTAATCAAATTAATATCAATTAAATTCTCTTTGAATATAAATGTTCATATTAAGAAATATAATTAAAATCAATCGTAATAAAGTCAATTTAAACGGAATAAATAAAAACTGCTATCTTGTTATAAATCAGATGTAAGATTTTACGACAAGTAAATATGTGGATTAATAATTATTATCTTTTTATGAGCTTCTTACATATTAAGAAGCAGGGTATTCCCGACAGATTTCCCAACTTTAAAAACCATTTTGATTTTCCAACCATTTTAACAACTACATCATGTTTGATAATATATGCAATAAAAATTAATAGTAAATTTGTCTGCTTGATATCGCAACTTTTTCAAGGATTGTGGAATTGAGAAATAAGAGTCATTACTTTAACATAGTGGCTGCGTTCGCTTTGCCGCTTACAGCGCTTGTGAGCATCAATTGTCCTTGTTTAATATTTACTAAACAACAAGGATGAAACGACGCTTAAAACGTTGTGAACGCCAAAGCGAATACAGCCAGTACAAAGAGCTTATCAAAATATTAAAAATAGCTTATCTATCAAAGTGACCTATTTAAAACTACGTCGTTTCTTAGAAACGTTAATTCTCCGATGTGAATTATCGTGTTATCTTGTAGGTATGTTTCATTAATAAATCGAGATAAAAAGATACCGAAAAATATACTGGAACAATAGCAAACGTATACGTATACCAAATGGAAGCTCATTAACTTGAAAAACAATAATAAATAAAAATAATCATAATTATCTGTAAAATGGTGAAACTACATGCGCAGTTAAATAATATTCAGTTTTTCGATGTTCATTATTTCCTCAATATTTCCTCTGTTTTTGCGAAATATTCTGCTCGGATGTTTAATATATATTTTGCATAATCAGCGTTACACATGTTGTTACTTTTATCTTGAAAAATATTCAGCGTATGTAAGTTATTCGCGGAAAATTACGAAGTTCACGAAAAGCAACATGAGAGATCAATATACCAAGCCAGAAGAGCATTCAATATGCATGTGTATTCGTCCTATTATCGAGGCGTTCATAAACGGACGGTCGCGATCATATGGCGTTTCGCAAGTGATTGTAGCCGTTTGCAAAATTAAATCGACAAACATTCGAGGCCACTTCGGCATAACGGAACAGCTGACACACACGGAAAACCCGTGTGTTTCCATGTTCCGCAAGAGAGATTAATACGGCTAAAATTTCGCAATTCCGTAAATTCTCGTTTTAAAATTCTGTTTATCGCATTACAATACCAAAACCCGATTACGACAGTAGCGGTGTACAAGAGCACACTTTACGCATGAGTGTCATTAAAAAAAAAAATAAAGGAAAAAAAGAAAATAATACACGCGATCGAACGAATTATTCAAGTAATGTAAATTTTTCGTGGACTAAATTGAACGGATGAGTTTTTGTGCCGATAAAATGTGTGTACGCGCTTATCTCCCCTTAATTGTAACATCCTGTTGTTACTCGATCTTAAAAATCGTAGTATCAGTATATACGCGCGTAATTACAAACCGGGCTCTTTGTCGTACTTCGCCGCTCCACAATTACAAAAAGAAACAGGATGAGCGAGGCACAGATATCTGCTTCATTGTTAGGAAAATTACACAAGAGTCATATACGTCGAAGTAAACCACTTTAAGATATTAGCAGATATATTATAGATATTAGCAATAACTATATTAATAAAGTGTTATTTAATATATATGAAATAATTCTCACGTAAACAATATTGCGATAATCAAAGCACTTAGTTTTTTATTTAGCAATTTATCTACTAATTTTGTTAGCGTGTTAATTCACTACGTTAATGGGCAATAGAGCAAGGACATGTATTTATCCTTTTACCTTCAATAGCATAACCGGTTCTATTTTTAAGATAAAACCATATTCAATACCAAGATTAATAAATGAAAACAAAATCGCAAGCGCAATGTGAACTTATATTTGAGAAATCAAACAGTTTCCAATAAGAACTTGCTCAATCATTTAAAATTTAGAGTATTTTTAACTTGATCGCTTTATCGCGAACGCGATATTTCATCGCATTTCGGTGGTACGATGTACGCGGTCTTCCCAATTGGAGTCTACCGTTTGTGCCCGAGGAAGAAGAACTGACGTGGAAACCAAAGATAGCGAGTTTGATTCTCCATCATGAGCTATTTAGGCAGAAAGGAGATTGTCACGGAGGTTAATTTCCGTCTGTAACAACTGCGACAACAAAGTCTACATCGCGGCCTTCACGGTCACTGAAACAGAGGCACACGTCACCAAGACTTACGTCAGCGATCGGCTCGAGGAATCTTGGGTCGAGTATATAGCCAGGATTAGATCCGTTATCTTGTTTGATAGATAGCACAAATACAGTGGATTATAATTACTTGATATAAAAAGCCTCGTTCTGTGATCAATTCTAAGTACGATTATACTGTATAAGAATTTTACGGATCACCTAACATTCGAATCTTTTTAATTAAAAAAATCCGCATTTATTGAATATAATCTAATAGAGAGAGCTCTTTTTTAGTTAATATTTTAATTCCTTTAAAAAATGATATTCGCTAAAAATCTGCATATTATACATATATAAATTTCATTTCATGTGCATGAATCTTTTTCTTAAAATATATTTGCTATGAGTATAAATATATTTGCTATATTTTGCTATGAGTTAGTAAATCTGTAAATTTTAACTGCTAAATTGAAATCGATCCTTGGAGCTCTATTATCTCATTTCATTTAGTTTCGTTCATCGATACGATTCTTATTCTAAGCGCGTCCGATATTCTCATTATTTTCATTGACAAAAACTCTATTGTATAAAAAGTTCTATTCTTCCTACTTTTGTTCTAGAAGAACACAACCGATGTGTATGCACGCTTACAGCACGTACACACGAACGCATAATCGAAATATCATAAAGCAAACCAAGAGAAATTATCACATGTTTTCCGCATGTGTTTGATTAAGTGCCAAAATGAGATCACGTCTGCTTCGTATAGAAAGATGTAAATCGAAATCTAAAAATACCGAATCTCTCTCACGAACGGAGTTATATAATTTTCCGAACAAATTACAATCCAGGAATTATTACACAGCGGATCGACGAAGTGTACTATATAGATCTCCCCGGCGATAGCCAGGCTGATAAAAAAGAGCATGATGAAACGGCATGAACGAGTAGCGGGGAATTTTTCCATTGTGATCATAGAAGGCGTGAAAAATACGGCAATGGATTCGATGTCCGTTTCGAAATCGACATGTTTCCTATGAATCGCAAAAAATGATGAAAAATCAAGAGCCACTAAAAATCGGTTATGTGTTCTTCAAGAAAAAAAGTAGGAAAAAAAGAACTTTTTATATAATAGAGCTTTTTGTCAATGAAAACGATGAGAATATCGGACGTACTCACTTGGAATGAGAATCGTATCGATGAACGAAACTAAATGAGATAATAGAGCTCCATAAGGATTTCAATTTAGCAGTTAACAGGTTTATTAACTCATAGCGAAATATAGGTATCATACCAGATACTCTGTAGAAGCAGAAGATCTATCGGTTGGAAACGTATTGAGTTCAACTCTCTGCCAATTTCGATTTCAAACGTTATCATACAGTACGAAAGTTTCCTTTGAGGCCAGTATGTTACCGAAGTGAAAAGGGATAAGTCTCTATATATCTCTCGATTTCAAAATAAAAATATCAAGATATGTTGAAGATTATAAAACGTTTTAAAATATCTTTTCCAATAGGATTACGTCTCTCTTTAAAATACCTCTATTGGAAATGAAGCTAATATCAACGAACAAATTCAATGAAAACGTATTTGCGGATCGTTAATTGCATATTTAAACCGCTCACAGTAGCATATGTTTCTTCTTTAAATATTAATTCGCATATCCAATTTATGAAAAGAGATCGATTTGAACGATCTCTGCACTTCTTAACTTCACGAATGAATAATGAAATAGAATTTAATTAAAGTACAAAGCGGTTTCTCTCACTCCATTGTCGAGTTATTCTACATGAAAATATAATTCTCTAATTCAAATTCGCATTTAAATTTACCGCAACTATTAATGTCAAGTGGATAAATCTTGTAATTTTAACTTGGATATGTTGTATACTAATCGAGCTGCTAGAATTAAATGGCGTAGATTGTTTGTTACTTGGAAGAACGTGCTATTAAATCTCATCTCAAGCGCATTGTATAATTCACCTTGATGATAACACATTCATGTTTATTCTGCCGTATGCCTTACAGCATTTCGATTTTCAACGATTCAATTAGAAATATTTAATACTTCTACTTCATTTTATTTAAATATTGTTCTCTCCATTAATATACAATCTAAAAGAAACCATCGCGTTGCGTAAGCCAAAACGTATTTGGATCAATTAATCTCATTTTAATAATACCCATTACTCGTCAATAATTTCCTCTCATAACCGTTCGATTTCATCACAGTCGATTAATTAAACAATTCCGATAAAATAATTACCACCGAAAGCAGCTGTATCAGCAAATGCTCGTTTCAGGAAAAAACGTAAAATCGTATTCGCGTTACGGTCGTGCAAAAGGCTTTCCATGACAATCTAGAGACGCGCACAATCGCGTAAACTATAGGTGTGTTTTCTATGGCTGAACTAGTGTACACTTTTGGAGCTTAAAGTGAAATAGGTATATACTTGATATTTGTCAAAAACGAGAAAGAGACTTCTAGTGCAGTTTAGCGCAGGAACAGAAAACAGACCATAGGCCTGTTCTTTTTAGCTGAACTTTTGCATCAGTTAATCTTTTTTCCTTTTCTCTTCAGGAGGAAAGAAGAAGAACAAAGATGCACTGGGCAAAAGGTTCAGTCAAAAAGAACAGGCCTCATATGTATTAAAAAAAAGAGAGACCCAATCCCAATCGATGGGTCTGGGACCCGTGATGCTCAAGTAGCGAACTGACCTTGCCCAAATAGCGAAATCCATAGTCCTCGGCGACTCGCCTGGCCACCTTCTCTCCTCCATCGATGTGTGCCGCCCACTGGTTGG